GTAGCCTTGCATATATATATATATATATATATATATATATATATATATATATATAATTATTTTTGTCTTGTAATATGACAAATAAATTACATCTACACTCAAATATTACAAGGTCATAAAAACTGAAATGCTGTTTAAACTACACTGCTGTCACTGTTGTAGTTTTATAGCACTTACATTTAATTTAATTGGGGATTTATCTTGCTTACTTTTGTCATTGAACAGCATAAATCATGGAAGAAGATCAAGAACATGGTGCATTGGTCACCATTTGTGATGTCCTTCAAGAAGAAGTACCCTTGGATCCAGTTGGCTGGCCATGCAGGTAGGCCTCAAACGTTGCATAACTTTTCACGCAACTTTTCACACAGTTAATACACTCAAAAAGTATAATGTGAATTGCTTTAAATCTAGAAGGAAAAAAAACAATAGTAGAGAAAGTTAGTTTATGCTAATGCCCACATTTTAACACCCCAGTGCTATGCTATTTGTCTCTCTCTGCAGGCAATTTCAAGGCAGGGGCCAATGGTCGCATCCTAAAGAAACACTGTGAGTGTGAGCAGCAATGTCTTGATAGGCTGATGAGAGACGTGCTAAAGCCCTACGTTCCTGCTTACCACGGAGATGTAGAGAAGGATGGAGAGAGGTACAATCAGATGGAGGACTTGCTGGCAGACTTTGACCTACCCTGTGTCATGGACTGCAAGATGGGCGTCAGGTCAGTTGCTACACAGTCTCATCTGACCTTTTACTTTACAAACCTAGAAAAGACCCAAATCACCCTAGTTATGACCCAGAGCCCACCTAAAACACCCTAGAAATGACACAGAACATCCTAGAAACCATATAGCAATATTCTGCAAACTGAGAACACCACTGCAACGGTGTACGGTAAGACCCTAAAAAACCACTCATGATACCTCAGCAAATGCCTAGTAACAACCTAAAACAACTTAGCAACTGCCTGGCAACACATTAGTAACCACTTATTAATGCTCTCTATCCTTGTACTGTATATCCTTGTAACTTCAGTTTTAACTTCAACTTAACTTTTTCTAGCTTAGACACACTAGAAGAAAACTTATAATGATAAAAAATAAACCTAAACCTAGAAATGAAAATAAAATATGTTTAAGTACTAAAATTACTAAAATTAAAACGGGAAAAAAATAATTAAAGGTAAATAGAAATATTACCAAAAATAAAAACCTAAGAAAAAGTACAAAAGCATATACATTTTTTAAAACAAACTAAATGTAACGTGGAAACTGACAATATAAAAATAAAAAATAAAAAATAATTAATAAATGCAATAATTATATATATTATATATATAATTGTATATAAATAATACTACAATAAAACGGGTACTTAGAAGCCAATCTATAATGTTTTATAAATTCTTATAAGACTTCAAATTGAAAACAGTTTTTTGTCCCTTGTGTATAAGAAAAGAAACAGAAAGAAGAGAGAGATTCACCTATAAATCACTAATAAAAAAATAGAAGATAAAAGAACACCAGAAATCCCCCTCCCTGCTAAGACAGAATCTTCATCTTTTATTATCTTACACTTATGCAACAGCATGTCCACTGCTGAAAATCTAGTATGTTACTTTAAAATGAATAGTTCCATTGACCCATTATTTGTACAGATGTTATACATTCCAAGCATCACAGAACATGAAGCAGGACCTTCCTCCCCAGAGACTCAGCAGAGGAGCAGCTCTGTGTCCTCTAATCTGTTGAAAGATAGCTGTGCTTGTTTGCAACTGGTGCAGGGAGACCTTGATACACATCGCTCATCACTTTTTTCCACACTCTCACTCTCTGTTGTTTCTGAGACTGCTCTGTTTGCTGTTGCAAGCCTGACCGAATCACAGCCGCGGACATGGACAAATATAGTGAAAACCAGATGGTCAGGATATTAACAGAACCTCTGCTGGCCTGTCCAAACAAAACAATGCGATGCTTTCAGATTCACGCAAATTCAGCACGCTTTTCAGTGCTTTCCAAGACAAATCAAGCTGGAGAACAAAAGGAGAATAAATATTTAGTTTTCATGTCTTTAGCTAATAAGATCAACTGCATTTTATTGCGCACTACAAATTTCAACAGAATATGATTGATGATGCAACAAGTTAAGCCATTGGGTCGTTTTTCTCCTGCAGGACGTATCTGGAAGAGGAGCTGACGAAAGCCAGGAAGAAGCCTAGCTTGAGAGCCGACATGTACCAAAAGATGATCGAGGTGGACCCCGATGCACCCACGGCACAGGAGCACGAACAGAAAGCAGTCACTAAGCCGCGCTACATGCAGTGGAGGGAAACCATCAGCTCCACCGCCACGCTAGGCTTCCGGATCGAGGGAATCAAGGTGAGACATTCGTTCATGAAACCTTTAAGAAACTTTTCATAATCTCTCTTGAAATCTGTGGAGACAAATGAGGTGAAATTGCAAAAAAGAGAGAAAACTTTAACATCCTTATTTGAATGGCGTTATTTGAACTGGATTTCTCAACTATACACTATTTTCATTCAACTGAAAGTTTGAAATAAATCGTGCTTGAGATTTTACGTATTCCCTTATTTATTTTAAGTATTTGGTTTTTAAGGAATATTCCAAGTTTAAAGCAATTTTTGGAGTTAAAACAATAATATTGATAACCACAAAAATTACTTTTGACCTCAATTTCTTAAAAAATAAAAATCTGGGTTATAGTGCGGCAACTGCAATGGAAGTGAATAAGGACCATCTTTAAATGTTAAAATACCACTGTTTTAAAAGTATAGCCACGGGACATAAAAAGATGCATGTTAACATGATGTTGGTGATAAAAATGCATATTAAAGGGATAGTTCACCCAAAAATCTAAATTCTGTCATCATTTACTCACCCTCATGTCGTTCCAAACATATATGAGTTGCTTTCTTATGTTGGAACACAAAAGAAAATATTTTGAAGATTGAACAGTTGGTGGTTGCCTTTGACTTCCATAGTATTTTTTTTTCCTACTATGGAAGTCAATGGCAACCACCAACTGTTTGATTACCAGCAATCTTCAAAATATCTTCTTTTATGTTCAACATAAAAAGCAACTCATGCAGGTTTGGAACGACATGAGGGTGAGTAAATTACAGAATTTTCATCTTTGGGTGAACTATCCCTTTAACCTTTCTGTGTAATGTTATATTAAGTTTCACTTAATTGCCATCATAATGAAATACCATAAACCCTAGAATGACTGAAAAATGATGATTTGAAAAACTATACAGCTCAAATAATAAAAACTTTACACAAGAATGAATATTGTTTACTAACCTTTTCGATGTAGCATTATATTCGCAGGACAATAAAACACCATAAAACAACTGTAAAAATTATGATGTAAAAAAATGTACAGCTCAAATAATAGCCAAGCTTTCACAAATGTGACCCTGGACAACAAAAACAGTCATAAGTTGCACAGGTATATTTGTAGCAATAGCCAAAAATATATTGTACGGGTCAAAATGATCGATTTTTCGATTTTTTATGCCAAAAATCATTAAGATATTAAGTAAAGATCATGTTCCATGAAGATAGTTTGTAAATTTCCTATCGTAAATATATCAAAACTTAATTTTTGATTAGAAATATGCATTGCTAAGAACTTAATTTGGACAACTTTAAAGGTGATTTTCTCAATATTTTTTTTTTTTCAATATTTTTTGCACCCTCGGATTCCAGATTTTCAAATAGTTGCATCTCGGCCAAATATCGTCCTATCCTAACAAACCGTACATCAATGGAAAGCTTATTTATTCAGCTTTCAGATGACGTATACATCTCAATTTCAAAAAATTGACCCTTATGACTGATTTTGTGGTCCTTGGTCACAAATAAGACAAATAACAGACAAGCTTTCACACAACAATTAATATAAGAAAATTAAAATGAGTCCTTCTTTATAAAATTGCAAGCTTCTGCTTTTAAATCTTTAAAAAATTGTCCCCATTCATCTGCATTACAAGTGCCTCACTGTACCTTGATTTTTACCTTTTTTTTTAAAGGCGAGCTGAAATTGTATTTTGTGAGAGTGAACATTATGCCACAACAAATGCTGTTGATTGAGCTTAACTTGAACCATGAGTTGATGAAAGGGATCTTGGAAGTGCAGTGCTGTTTTTATCTGGGGAATCACGGCAGCCTTCAACCTACACGTCTTTTAATTAGATCCCGGAATTCAGACTGAGGTGAAGGGGCAGGATTGGCCTTTTTCAAGAGGTCGATTGTGTCTGAATGTTCCTGTCATACACACAGCCTGTTTGTGGCACGTCCTTTGAGCTCAACATCAGTCAGTGACAGGCCACGGCTCTCGCAACATGATTTCAATTCTGTAATTCCGGCCTACCGCACGCAGCCCTAAATACACCCTCATGGAAAATGTCAAAAAGACTTAAGAGAAGCTTGAAAACCTTCAGCTAATTAAGCCAAACCAGGCAGCCACGATTCCATTAGAGGAGATTAGAAAGCTTATGTTTGGTCTCTGTCATGATTTTCCAAAATAAATCTTTGTTAACAAGCGCTCTGCAGATGTCCTGCATGAATAGGGAAAGATTGCTTCTTCTTTTGCGCTTTCCATTAGCACAAAGGCCAGGCTCCCCCGTCTTCCTCTTTTGTCGCAGATGGGGGATGCCCTGGGCGGCTCTAAATAAAGTATTTTCTGAATAATAGTAGACTTCTGTTATGTCTGTGGCTGAGCTGCCTGTTGTTTGTTTTATTAGGTCTATGCCTGTTGTGACTATTGTCTTAACTTAGAAGCGCATTAATTCGCCCACAGTCCATCAATATCACGTTGCCTCTGAGATGTTTACTAAAGCACACATCACTGTTACTATTGCTTGTACTTTGAACAAATATTAAAATAGTATCATTATATTAATATAAAAGAAAGGGCTTCCATAATCACAATCGATCAATCCTTCTTCTCTTTCCCTTCTACAGAAAGAGGACGGAACAGTAAACAGGGATTTTAAAAAGACCAAGACCCGAGAACAAGTGACCGAGGCCTTCCAAGACTTTGTCAAAGGAAACCAAAACATCCTGGTAAGCCTGTGCTCGTGTTTGTGCTTTAGGGCCTTGTGTCGATTATAAAGTCTCCTGTGGCACACGGAGGGGAAGCAAGTGACAGGTGGAGCTACACTCTCTCATTAACCCCCCAGGGCGGTTTGTGAAACTAAGGGTTTCCTTTGTGTGGTGTAGCCCCTTCAGGGTTTTATTGTTTGAAACCAGCTGCTGGCAGGGAAAATCACTCTTCCAGTTGCACACAAACTTGATTATATTACAGAGAAATACACACATGCAAATACAAAGCGCTTTGCATAATGCTGTGGTTGACACATGACTGTCATGTGTATTCTTGAGACATTAAAGTACTGTAAATGTAATCTTAACAGGTTTAAATATTAATAAGATGTTTGCACCTAGCACAAAGCAATGATATTCATGGCAGGATTCCCATGTTGTAACAGGGGTGTTTCCTTTAAAGTTCAGCCTTATAGACAAACAGTTCCATAGAACCTGTCCTTGGCTTCTCGTGGAGCATTTATTTAACCCCATGTTTGTCCACAGTGTGTCCTGGAACTTGATGTGCATCCTGATCCTCTGTGATTAGTTTGACAAATGTGCTGTAGATTTTACAGAGGAACCTGCTTTTATTTTCACACTAAATGTATAATCAACAACCGACGATTTAAATGCTGACAATGTAATTATTGTGGCGTAAATTAGAACAGAGCATGTTACTGTATGATCTGATAGGACACTAATAATTGCAAGTGATTACTCATGTAGAGATGACACTGAAATGTTGTTTTAAATCTCTGTTTAGTACCTAATATACACTCGGGGAAATCAGTGATTCAGCCTTTAAAATTATTTTTTTCCCCCCCATTTATTGCATGTATATGAACATATTTTTTGAGCTTTTTAGAATTTATTTATCTATGTTAATTTTAATTAATAAATATTGCTCATATGTTACATACATTAAATAGTGTAAAAAAATGTATTACAACATATTGAAATTAATATCGAGATTAATAAATGCTGGGAAAGTAGCCTATTCTTAATATTTCATTTTAGCAATTAACTAATGTTAACATATAGAACATTATTGTAAAATGTTACTGCATATTTAAATAACTTTCTATAAGGTGAACTCTTCAAAAAAAAAAAAAAAAAAGGGATAAAACATTTTGATATCTGCTATACATGTTATTTTATCATAAAAATATATTTAATAAAATCAAATTTCAAGCATCAAAACAATAAAAGTTTAATAGAGAATTAAAAAAAATAATGACTATCTATCATACATTTTTACCATGATTTACAAAAGACGCTCACTAAAATGTAATTCTTGTAACAGTAGTTTTAATCATTTAAAATATAACAAAATTTAGTATGATCACTCTTTCATTATATAGCCTATTTTAATAAGTACAAGTTAGAATAAGTATGTTTCATTTTTACATAAATATATATGTTACACTAAATGACAGTAGAACATTATTTCACCCATATTTTGACATTTTGTTTTCACAAACGCTATTTGAAATATTAAAGTAGACACTTGCATTTAATATGCATTCTATGTATATAAAATAACTTTAGTAAATTTAATTTGATGCAGACACCAAAATGGGACATATACATGTATATTTACTGTAATGAAAAAAAGCCTTATTTCCTCATTACATTATATCTTTCTATTACATGCAGCCAATATTATTCTACATAAATACAGTACTTGTGACACTACAATTGTGGGGATTTTTATAGTTTTATAGTTACTTACACTTTGTCTCTTTTCCCTCAGCATTCCTATCTGAACCGACTACGAGAGATCAAGGACACTTTGGAAATTTCACCGTTTTTCAAAACGCACGAGGTAAACAGTCACACTTTTATCATCTTAAAACACATTAGCTGCACTTAAGACCATGGAGGAATTAGTAAGTGTAACCTTTTACTAGGGCTGGACGATATGGCCAAAATTTATATCACGATATATTTCTTAATTTCGGTCGATACCCACCCATGTGATGATAGCATGTGAAAATGTGGAAAAATAATACACAATAGCATCCATGCAAAGACCGGCGCTGAAGTAATTATCTGATTACACTGGATGGTCAAAGCCAGAATAGCAACTGGGTTGTATTAAAACAAAGAGTTACACAACCTCTTTTAATGGACTTTAAAGACAAATATTCTAGATACACTTCATGCGTCGTCAGTGTCAGAGCTTTGTTTTAATACAAGGAGGTAGAACAGGCTATGCAAACACAGAGCCTTGTTTATTCACATTAATAGATAAAAACAAACTGTATGCTGGAAAAACAGGGCACAGTTATATCTGTTTAATAAGTGAGCGTGTGTTTGCTGCACAAACATAATGGAAACAGGATCTTTGTGTCTATTGTGTCATGTTTACACATGTATTTGTGATGAACCATTTAAAGTCTTGTAAAGATGCGACACGCTGGGAACAGATTTTGACATTTAACGCATTTCCGTGTTGTGCGTGTGTCCCAACTCTTCCCATCTCTCGTGTTCAGGTGATTGGCAGTTCTCTACTCTTCGTCCATGACAAACGTGAGCAGGCAAAAGTGTGGATGATAGACTTTGGGAAGACTACTCCATTGCCGGAGGGGCAGGAGCTGAGCCACAGGGCCACCTGGGTGGAGGGTAACAGAGAAGACAGCTACCTCTACGGCCTAGACCACCTCATAGACATTATTTCCAGTGTGCTAACTCCTAAACCTCCACTAGAGTAAGAGGATTCCATCTCCTCTCCCTCCTGCACTACAGTTCAAGACCTCCCTGGGTTCCCCTAAAGTTATCCTAACCGATCGCCCCGTCTCACCAAAACAGAAAACTATAAAACTTAAAACAAAAATGCCAGCCGCAATGGCCTTTAAAAAAAAAGAGAGTGTGTATGTTTGTAAACTTGTAGATGCTGTACATATAGTGTAAATGCCAGTGTTTTAGTTCAGAACATGTGTGAATAGGATTTTTGCAGCTAGCGCTTTAACAGGCAGGTGAATCTTAAAGCCACACTCCCTTAATGTGCGTTCTTTTCAACATGCTAGTGTTACGGAAAAGTGTAAAGCACTTACACAGCTATGTTTTACTCTGCGATTGTTTTAATGTTTTGTTTTTAGATGCTGCAGAAAAATCTAAATTTTAAAACCTTTAACAATCAGATCGACCACTAGACGTTTGAGATATTTATATTTGCAGGATTCTAACAATATTGGTGGTTTTATATTTTTTTTTTACCCTGTTAACAATGTAAGTAGTGTTAAAATACATCATTTTTACTGAGTGCCTTTTGTAGAACAAATTCTCCCATTTGGTGGATGGTCTTATGTTGTGCTTTATATTTAAATTCTTCATATTGACATTCCTTAAATTCAATCGCCATTTTTGTGCCTAAGTAGGGCTGGGTATCAACACAGATTCTCCAATTGATTATAACTCACAAATTCTCGATTCAATTCGGACTTTAATTTTATGTAATACGATTCCGATTCATTTGAGTATACAGCATTTTGGTTATACTGTCTATTTTCTCTCTGCTAATGCTGTAAAATATTCAGGGGAGTGTTTTTGACTAATTTAAACTTGTAATTCATCTTTTGATCTATTCTACACTAGGCGTGCCACGTGTTTTTGATTTACTAGAAAGAAACGACTCATTTTGGGAATCAAGCTAGAAGTTTGCGCTTGGTTTTTGAGTTCTACTCAAACAAGATTCTGTTTCGCTCCTGCTAAAAATATGATCTGGCTCTACCACTCACGCTATGTGTTTTTGCTAAGTCACTAAGATTCACTAATAAGATTAAGATTCATGAATAAGAAAGATGTTTCCTGCCATCATTTCGTAGGACATGGCCATTTTTTATTGCATCATATTAAAAACAGACTGCAAATTCACTTTCTGAACTGACATATTGACAACTATGATATTAAAAATACGATTACTTTTTCCCGTGACACTAAAGATTCAGCAGCAGGGTGTAAAATCGAAGTAAAGGCCCGTTCACACCAAGAATTATAACTATAAAATTCAGTTTATCGTAAGTATGCACTGCAGTTTTGTTGTCTGCTGCTTTAAATGCTCAAGGATGGATTCTGATTGGCCCTCAAATGTTTTTATCATTTATCAGCTGGAAAAAGTAGTTTTGAATGTTATTCAAAGGACATTGTTCCTGTATCATTAAAATTTTGCAGTGGACTCTGCTATTTTTATACATTTATAATGATTTTAAAACTATTTTATCCTTGATGTGACTTTAGTCATTTCAGCAGGACACAGTGCCATCTGTAGGACGGGAAGTGCGGTGCAATATTAAGAAATTAAATTGGAATAATTCAAATGAAGATCATGATTAATTGGAAAATCTATATTTTTACTCAAGCCTATGCCCAACCAGCTTAAAATAATAACTGAGTGCCAAGGTTTTTCTCAGGAAGTGGCTCCCATTCAAGAAGACTTTAAAGGGTTAGTTCACCCAAAAATGAAAATTCTGTCATTAATTACTCACCCTTGTGTTGTTCGGACCCCGTAAGACCTTCGTTCATCTTCGGAACACAATTTAAGATATTTTTGATGAAATATGAGGGCTTTCTGACCCTCCCATAGACAGCAAGGTAACTACCACGTTCAAGGTCCAGAAAAGTACCAAGATGATCGACAAAGTAGTACCCTTTAAAGCTGTCATTACCGGCTTGTGGTATGTTTTCAAGTTCCCTGTAAACACACAGTCTCAACTAATTTTTGTCTTTGAAAAATCCGTAAGAGCTGCAAACACCAACCTTGGAATCGCTATAGTGACTGTCTATTCGGTTAATACAAGAACTTTTCTACAAGGTAAAATAACATTTTTTTAAAAACACACTGTCACCTTAACTCGCATCTGTTGACCAAAAATTTCAATCATTCCACGCAAGTTCAAACAATGTGAATAGTCACAAGAGCCTTAAGTAATGTTGTTCTTCCTTTGTAAAGTGCCTGAAGGCACCGCTCGATGCAGTGCCTCCGAATGCTGACTCGCCACTCTTCAGAGCGCATCAAGTTTGAGAGAGGTGATTGTTGTTTGCATGACTATTTGCCATGCAAATGAACCATCCCTGCATACCCCCAAACAATGAGATAATGCTCCAAGCAAATATCGCTGGAGATAAAAACTAATTTGTTGGTCAGTATGGAAACCATGTGCTGACACCAGCATAAACGCAATCAGTGATTAGTGGTTGTTGATTTAGCCCGGGGCGAGGAACACCTAGGGCAGACCTACACGTCGGGACGTCAACACTACGCACTCCAGTCACACAGTAAAGGCAGAGGGGTTATCGAGAGGCCTCCAACCAAATGTCACCACGTGCTTTTACCCATCATTTATTTATGATGAGATTTTGCTGTCGTTAAATTACCTTTTATGAATGCAAAAGGAACAGAGAGGACAAAAGGTTAACGGGTGGTGTGGAAACATTTCTCAAATCCCTGTCCCACAGCCACAGTTCCCTAAACATGCTTAAAATGGGTAGGAAAAATGGAATAGGTCAAATCATAGCTGCTGTAAGTGATTTTTAATAGGCCTAACACACACAAACTGTCCTCGCTATTTGACTACGGGAGAAATAATACTTCTCTTCTGGTTCTGTAATTAGCCACAAAATTGCTGCTGGTTAGCCAAGAGAGAGAAAAATATCTAATTATATGAAAAAATTACAGCCCTAAAAATGTGACACATATAAATCATACATAATAATACAATGAAACACTTGCTAGGAAAAATAACACTTCTCTCTTCTGGCAGTGTAAACAGCCAAAAAACTGCAGTTTGTTAGTCAAGAGAGAGGAAAATATATCTAATATTTTTAACACATGGCTACTTTCCAGAAACATACTTCTTGCCATAATAATGGTTTAGTAACGACATCTACCACAAGATGTGTCACTAGCCCGATAATGAAAGAAAAAGGAGACTTGTTTGGAAACCAAAAATATTTTTGCTTTTAGAGGCGTAAATACAATTGCTTACAGCAGCTTTAATCCGGTCTAAGAGGTTTCGGGTTTATTTATTCTCCCAAAATTACACTTAAAGCCAGATGTACTTTCTCCCTACACACGCTTAAAAATTGAAGTACTCCCCCTGCTGTTTATGATGCTGTATTACAGAGAACAAACAAAACTGACAAAGTCCTTCTTCTTGCCCTCGATGTTTTACATTTCATGCCATATTTGTGAGAGGTCAGAAACTGGGGGAATTTCTAGTGGTGTCATACGCATACTTATATTTTGCTCAAGAACACTAAATGTAGCTGCATTGTTTTTTCTTCTCGTTTTGTTTGGCTTTACCTCCCATATCTTGGTGATATAGCGGTTCACTGTAATGTAAGCTAAGCTCATTGCTGTGTAAAAAAATGTGCAAATGTCTTCAGAGAGTGCTCTGTCTCTTTAAGAAAATAAATCTCTGAAACCAGTGACATTTGACCCTGTTGCATTATGTTATGTCAAGGCCTTGCTGCACAAGGAACATTTACACAGCTCAACCCTGCTGTATGTTTGCCATCTTAATGCAGCAATGAATTATTATGCTTGGTTGTACAATTTTACCAGATCAATTTGTCAAAAATACACATGGTTTGGCTTTTACTTATGGATGTTTGTATATCTGGTGATTTTACAGATTAATTAATTACAGATTAAAATAATAATTAATTAATGTAGCCTTTCACAAATTTTAAAGTTAATACTATTTTTTCATATTGTACATTGTAACATTGTGTTTCCAAAATGTTAGTTTTTAATTTATTATTATGTATTTTTAGACAAATTAGTATGGAACTACAATATTGACTATTTATTGGTTGTCAGCCATAACATAAATAGGAATTATTAACTTATTGTCAGGATTTTAATATCACTGCATCCCTATTTTTTTTTTTTAAGTTCAACAGGCTGCCATTGGGACATAGATGTCAGCGCTTCTATTTTGTAATAAAAGTAATGAGTTATGTAGAGCCATATAGTTTATGCCATCTCCTTCCACTTTATTTTACTTAACACTACATACATACACAGCCAAAAGTATCTGGAGACCTGAACAATGTACCCAATTTGTGCTAGTTAAACATTTAATTTGAAAACCAAGAGAATTAAAGGAATAGTTCAAGAGGACTTGTATATTAGCCAGAGGCAATATTTTGATGACTCAGCTTTCCACTTCCCAAGATGTTAACTAATGGACTGGAGTCATGCAAATTACTTGTGGATTATAGTGATGTTTTTATCAGCTGTTTGGACTCTGGCGGCACCCATTCACTGCAGAGGATCCATTGGTGAGCAAGTGATTTAATGCTAAATTTCTCCAAATCTGTTCTGATGAAGAAACAAACCCAACTACATCTTGGATGGCCCGAGGGCGAGTAAAATTTGGGTCAACAATTCCATTAATAACAACTATTCTTCTGGGAAGAACATACTTTTGGCCATAGTGTATTTATATTTTACAAGTAAGATATATTTTGGGAAAGAAATGCTTTCTATACCTTGCAGGAGATAAATAAATGGTCACTAGATGGAAGGTCAAACAGACATCTGAACACCAGCACTGACGTAAATACCAAAAAGCAAGGTACATGATATACCTTAAAAAGTCTTATACTGGTATGCTGGAAATAACACCCTATGATTAAAGCAAGTTCTGTTCTTTGTTCTTTCAAAGTGAACAGTTGCCACCTAGTGTCTCTCTTGTTTATTGCACTGACATAGTCTAAACCTTATCCCCCCCACAGATAAAGGTTCAGTCAGTAATACAGACCAGCAGTCTGTACAGTGGTTACATATTTTTGGCATCCATCTATCCTGACCTGATCAGATGTAGGCTATTAGCATATGGTGCAGCAGAGTGTGAACAAATAAAACTATTTTTATCTGATGGCAAAAATAGTGGAGGTTAAGCAGCTTATTTTTTATTTTCTGCTGTCGAATAAACTGGACTTCCTTATTTAGTCATACTTGGACTGAGTCACAGCGCTGGCAATGAGCCTCAGAAATATTAGCCTGGGGAGCAGGGAGCTTGGAGTGAGGCCATGTTCAAGAGTGAGGAAGCCAACCGCCCACCAGCCTCACACACACAACTATACTAATAAAAAGGACCATACAGCAAAAACATTCAAAAATGTATGAAGCCCTTGACCCAGAGAGATACTCTACCCACAAAGCACTGTCTGGCATCAGAAAGCACAGTGCTAAAAAATATATTCAGTCATACAAGTCAAACTTCAGAGCAGCTGCTCTGAGAGACACCAGAATTTTGACAAATCTTTAGTCCTAATTCAGAAAGAGTATCGATTCTCTGTATGGAAGAAGTGAATACTGATAAGGTTTAACTTGCATTAACTAGCATTTAATCTATAGATCAAATTTGCATTCATCTTGCATTTAATCATGATGACTGATACACAGAAAATGAGGCAAATCAATAAAGAGCTTTCATTAATTCTACACCTTGGACTAATCAATAGAATGACACACACACACACACACACACACACACACACACACACAGGCCTTACAATTAATATTCAAATTAATTTAAAATAAAAAATAAAATATTTATCTACATCTGACAAATTATTATACAGATGAATTATAATAGGCTATAAATGAAAATAGCCCAATACTAATTAGATAACAATCGGTTTGGGCCACAGACGAATGCTGAATCAATTCATATAGTAATGATAAGCAATCCAAGTTACATGTCATCCACTGCTAACTTCTCTCTCATCTAGCTATTTGTTTGTCTTACCTGTACCTTGTTTATTCGATGTTGTCGTTGTCTTGAGACTGAGTTTAGCAATCAATCAAAGTGATCACGTTTTCCACAACAATCCGAGGCCATGTTTAATCTAGGCAGCTACGTTTGAGCCGATAGATGGCGCCATACAGTTATTTGAATTTTCGTTGATACGAAAAGACAGCGCAGGATCGCGAAGGACGAAAAAACTGCGATTGACCAATCAGAAGCAAGTATTCCAGGGGGGCTTAAAGGGATAATCCACCCCAAAATGAAAATGTTGTCATTAATCACTTACCCCCATGTTGTTCCAAACCCGTAAAAGCTTCGTTCGTATTCGGAACACAATTTAAGATATTTTGGATGAAAACCGGGATGCTTGTGACCATTGACTGCCAAGTAAATTACACTGTCAAGGTCCATAAAAGTATGAAAGACATCTTCAGAATACTCCATCTGCCATCAGTGGTTCAACCGTAACATTATGAAGCGTACGCTGCTTGCGTTCAGCAGATATTCTCCAAAATGGCGCTACGGTGATGCGGAGAGACACAGAGGAGACGAATTGTTGAATAAAGTCGTTATTTTTGTTTTCTTCGCGTACAAAAAGTATTTTCGTCGCTTCATAACGTTAAGGTTGAACCACTGATGGCAGATGGACTATTCTGACAATGTCTTTCATACTTTCATGGACCTTGACAGTATAATTTGCTTGGCAGTCAATCGGACAGTCACATCATCCAAAATATCTTAAATTGTGTTCCGAAGACGAACGAAGCTTTTACAGGTTTGGAACGACATGGGGGTAAGTGATTAATGACAAAATTTTCATTTTGGGGTGAAGTATCCCTTTAAGTAGCCTAAGTATGATTATTCTAATTTATTATATACTGTGATATCTTAAATCAAAAGCATATTTGTGTCACAAAAATGGGTTACATTTGGATGTTTTATTTAACCAACAGTGTATATTTCTATTTTAAGTAGGCCTATATTTAAGTGTAGTCGTGTTCTTAGTGTGTAAAAAGGCTATATATAATGTATATTTATTTTAGTTTAGTTCCTTATATGGACCTGTGGAATGTTTGCTTACATTTGTGATCTCATTGTAGATACAGACATCAGTGGGAATTGCATCTGCTGCATACCTCTGCAGCCAAGACAGTCTGGTGGGAATGGAAGAGAAATTCCAGTAGTTTCTGCAAACATACATCCAGACCATGACGTCCCGCATGATGTCATCTGTTTTGATTTCAGAAGCCTAACATCATGAGCAAATATCGAACAAGATGCAAAAATAGTAAATACATAAACAACCATTTCTAAATGTTGGCATTCAAATTTTTGTTTGGCTGACTTGTGTGGTAGCCTACTTAGAGAATGATCAAAATTAGGCCTATTATTAGCATATGTGTGTGGATAGGAAGAAACTGGATGGAAAGATCACTATTATTTTGTATTATATAAAATAATATTAATTGTTATACATATTATTACAGCTGTTTTGAGTTTTTCCCTTTTATTTTTGTTCCTATTTAGTGAGCAACTGCAGAATGATTTAACCTAAGTGCACCATCTGCTGGCTCTTCAAGGAATAACAAAAAACAAAAAAAATTTCAACAATACTAGGAAGATGTACAGCAATATAACACAACAGGTTAATTAAACGTGCAAAATTGTTTATAATTGTGTGCAACTATGAATGCAATTAACAGGCTTTCAGACTAGTGGCAACAATGGCACAAAAAATGCTCTCTTTAGCTTATGTTGCACCGTAATGTTGAATTTCTTCTGACAGTCCAATAGGAGCAAAGAGTAGTGTATTCTATTGTCGTGACATTTTCTGGCAATGAGAAATGTTAAAATGTTCAAACTTTTTTTCTAGCAATGAAATATGTTGAGAAGGGTAACATATTCAGCCCAATTTGTTTGGGTGATGCAGGAAGTATTTCTCCCCGGACTGCAACCACCCACTGTTGTCTACTACATGAGGAGCTTGACATCTAAAATGAGCCTAGTCTTAGTGCAGCTGATTGCTCCTTCAGGCTTGACACCTTTTTTGGGGGGCACAGTGGCACCATAGTGGTTTTCTCGGAACGGTGGATGTGGACAGGGAGTGATTAAAGATGTTCATATAGATAGGGGCCAGTCGTGCAGCATGTGTTCTTGGTATACATTAGCTTAAACCTCAGAATCTCTCTATTTACCCATCTCTCCTCAGCTATAAACCAACTCAGTATGGTTCACAAGAGTCTTCGTGGTACAGAGAACAGTTTGTTTGGCATGTAGATCATGAGAGTGTTTGGTTTTACAAGCGCGGCTGTACACATGACATTAAATTGTTTACTGAAACTATTCACGGTGCCTTTGGTTGGTTTTATCACGAGAGACGAGAAAAACCAGTGAGACTAGAGGAATGCAGGGAAAAAGCCTATGATGATAGAATACATGCCCAACTGCACGAGGAACAGCCTTATTTGGAGGCAAACGATTATGCTTTGGAAACAGAAGAGCCAGAAACACTAAAAGAGGGAGAAAAACTGCAGAAAAAATGATGGTAGATTTTTAGGGCACAGATTTGATGTGCTGTTATCTAAAGTGCTCTACTGCAGAAAGGCAAAACTACACATTTTGTCGAAATCCAAACTGGATGTCTTGCATTAAAAAAAAAAACTTTATAATTTAAAATAAATAAATAATTCACAATATGACCGTTTACTGTACTTTTTATCAAATACATGCAGTCCTATGCACTTGAAACCCAATGCAAAGCAGGAATTAAACTAGGCAAAACAAATATTGGGAAAAAGCATTCCATCTTGTTTATTCTGATGTTATCATGCCTCACAATTTTCAGTAACACAAGTTTTAGACTCAATTCCAAAATTTCATGATTCTTGACTGATACCAATTTTGAAACCATACGAAAAAACACCAGTACTGATTTTTTTTTTTTTTACTTATCAATTTGGTACCAAAGTACATCCGTGTTTTGTTTGTGAAATATCCTCACCTTTCCCCAAGAAAGCAAGTTTCTCATCTTCTTTTAATGGTGTTAATTTCAGATGGTTAGGTCTTTACACTCATTTGTGACAGCTTCAGTCGAACGCCGTTGTACCTGTTATCATTAGACGATAGCCTGATTCATTTAATTAATGTTTCTTTTATGTTTTTTTCTGTGTTGCATACTGGCAGACAGCATTATTGTAGTTAACTAAAACTAAAGCCATAAAAAAACCTTCTGTTACTTGAAATAAACTTTAACTGGAATAAAAAACATTTTTAATTTTCACTTATTTTAACTTGATGTACTAAAATAGCTAAAACTAAAACTTAAATAAAATGAAATAAAAACTAGTTCAACATTTAAAAAAACAAAAACTAATAATAAAAACGACCAAAACGCAACAAAATTACTAAAACGAACTAAAAATAATAGAAACAATTTCAAAAATATGAATAAAACTATAGTACTCAATGATACTAAAATAACACTGCTGACAGGCCAGGCTCCATAATACTTAAAACATGGCGATGATATAAATAAAATAATTACAAATTAAGAATCCACACACCTATTTAGCAGGATTTTGAGTATCGCAACATTGCAGAAAAACACACATTGCTTTGAGTTTGGATCATGCCACCAGATTAGTTGCTTTTGGATGCGTGCATTTCTTAGTTTGTAATTAGAAAACAAAACAAGACACCATGTCACTTTTTGAAAGCAGAATTTATTCGATATGGTACCCTTGACATTTCTGGAGATGTGACAGCATTATTGTGTAAGTCTGCTTAGTAACATATGTTTGGCTGTATACTATATTTATGCCTTTGGACTTAGCACTGGATTATGTTGTTTGTATTTAAAAGGCAGCACTAAACACAACAGCACACAAATTTACAAGACTAATTCACTTTCTGTCCATATTTACAACAAATCCTTAAACACATTCACACCAGAGACCAGCTAATATCCATTAATAACATCCAAAAAAGAGACTCAACCAAATTTGAGAGTGTGAGTAAAATATTAGAAACCAGTTTCAGAGTACCTCATATTTGGGGCTTGAATTTTTCCGAATATATCGCACACTCAGCAAGAGCACAAATTCTGCTTGCTCAGTTGCTGCAGTCATTTGCAATCGGTGGATAATTTTTCAATGTCAGTCTTAAATCATAGTGTTTTGACTATTTCAATTCGCACTGTGCCTTTCTCTTATATCGCTCACATAAAAATAACTCGCACTTAATTACGTTATTTCATACCCTACGCATGGGTTGATTAAAGTGGTCAGTCACTATGGCAACTGGCCTACTGTGATTCACCAATACTTGGCTGTTTTACTCAACAACAGATAATTACTGGGCAAAAAGGTTATGTTTTTGGCTGATGGTCTCTGGGTATTTAAGACTAATAGAGATTAACAATAACAGGTGATGTATTCATGCAGAATACAATGTATGTTATATAAAACCACATAAATACACACTTTCTGCTTTATAAGGCTTAATTTGAGTAATAAAAACACAGCACACTATAAAGAAATACTGGAGACACTGTAATGCACATGACATAACTATTCAGTGTAATATGTATTCATAGTGCTCTGTGGGAAGCAAAATAGGAGTAGTTCACCCAAAAACTAACAGGCGAGTAAATAATGACGAGAGATTTTCATTTTTGGGTGAACTTTTCCTTTAAAGATTCTTTCAGCTACTTCATTAGATACCTCAAAGCTTTTTAACAAATATATTTACTTAAATGTCCATAGTATATATTGGTCAGCTTAATACATTAAGACTACAGAGTAGAGTACGATTAAGATCGGTTTTCCCTGACAGGTATAGGATGCGTTCGGCACATAGACGGTTCGCACGTTTGCACAATTTTTAGAGATATTCACAGAATGTTCATGCTCTTCTGCTGTCCCTCAACAGTCAGGTGCCCTTAACGCAGTACCTGACAGGAAGTAGCAGGAGTTGGGCTGAGAATCTGCATGTGATCAACCCCTGGATCTCCCAGGCAATGTGGGGGCCATCTCAAAGCTCCCATACGTGTTGGCCAGACAGCACAGGAGAAATGTGCACATTCAAGATTAGGTTTGGAGG